TGTTCAGAGGCACCACGGAGCTCGGCAGGTCAGCCTGGCCTGGGACAGGCCTCCAGCCCTGGGCTGCTCCCTGCACCTCTGCAGGTGAACCCTGCGTGGCTGCAAACGCACATGTCACCCATGGGCCTAGGCGGGCAGCAGCGGGCTGAAGAGCAGACCCAGAATGAGGCACAATCCACTCTTTGTTCCTGTGGCTGCCCAGAGCCTGCGGGCCAAGAGGAAATGAGGGGAGTGCCAGCCAGCAGCCCTCACCCGCCCCACAGGCCTCACTGCCTGGGCCGGCAGGCGCCAAAGCTGGCCCCCAGGGGAGCTCAGGGGCCTGCTCTAGGGAGGGGTGCTGTGGGGCCCCTGCAAGGGACAGCGGGAGCCAGCTGCTCGCCACTCCTGCGCCCAACTTCCACCTGGGCAGGTGCCAGGTCCTGGTGCACCTCGGCTGTGAGGGCGGCAGAGGGCCCTGGCCGAGTGGGCTCTGAGCAGAGGTCCCAGCAGACTTGTAGCCCCTGCCCCATGGGATGGCCCGCCGGTGGTCTCCCACCCACGCTGCTTCCCTCCTGTCTTCCCTGGCTGAGGGTGTGTGGTAGAGGGCAGGGGTCTTGCTGGATTGGGGGCTGGTGCTCCTTGCCACTCACCAGAGACCTCCAGACATGGCCAAAGGGTCTGCATCCATCCTTGTGGCAGCTAAGCTTGGCCTATGGGGATCTGAAGGGCAGATTGCCCAGTGGACCCCACACGAGGGCCGTCCCCAGGGCCATCCTGAGGCCCCAATGGGAGTATGTGCCCATGAGCACACACACACACACACACACAGGTGGGGCTCAGGCCCCCTTATGCTCCTCCCTCACACCTTTACTCTGCACACCCCCATGGGGCCCGGGGCATGAGGCACGGGGTTGCAGGATCCCAGGAGCCTGTTCACTGGGCTGCCCTTTGGGGCCCACCGCAGCAGGGCTAATGGGCCGCCTGGGCCTCACCTGTAAGAAGGCCCTCGGTCTCACCACCATCCTGCCCGGGCTGGGAAGGCCGGCTGCCCAGGCGCCCAGCTCCGACCCTCATGGGCAGATCTCACCCAGGCTGCGGCAAGCAGGGTGCCCCCCTTGCCTCAACAGCGTGCCAGCTTGGGAGCACATCAGTCCCAGGTCACCACCAGGAGGGGGCTGTGGTCCCCACCTGTAGACCTCAGGTGCGTGCACTGGATCCCCAGGATAGCCTAGGACCAAAGCCCACCCAGAAGTGGGAAGGTCCTGGGGGGTGCGGGAGGGCCTCTCCCAGGCTGGGGCAGAGGCTGTCACTACCCCCTCGAGGTCCAAGCCAGCCCCAGCCTTGTGCTGCAGCAAATGCCTGGTCTCAGCTGTGTGGTTCCAGGGCTGGGGGTCCTGGCCCACCCTCCCTCCTCTGGCCCCAGAAGAGGCTGCCCTCCGGAGGCAGACAGGAGGCAGGCCTGGCTCTGCAAAGGGCAGCTGGAGTGGTGAGCACCCTGGGTGATGAGCAAACATGTCCCCAGCCGGGGGTTGGGGGCAGCAGGCCTGGCCCCCCTTCCCTTGGGGCCCAGGTTCCTCGAGTGAGTGCTGGTGAGGGTGGCCCCTCGGTTCAGGAACGGCCTGGTGGGGGTGGACCCCACTAGCAGCCTCAGGGAGCCTCTCTCAGTGCCCAGTGCCGGCTGCTGAGATGCACAGCCCACCCTGCGTTGGCTCCCCGAGCACCGGGACCCTGCCTTCTGGAAGCTGCAGAGCCAAGAACCAGTCCCATGTCTTTGCAGCTCAAGCCCATGTGGGGTGGGGCAAAAGTTCTTCCAGGAGGACAAGTAGTTGCAGGTGAGCCCAGCCCAGGAGTCGCAGCAGCTGCCCTCAGCCCCAGGGGCGCGTGGGCAAGAACAGCACTTACCTGGGTGCTCGGCTCGGCCTCATACCACCCAGTGCCCAGGGTCACGGCCTCAAGGCCTCCCTCTGCCTGCTGCCAACAGCAGGTGGGCCTTGCGGGGCCCTGGTGGCTCTGCGGCGGGAGGTGTAGGGGCAGAAGCCCGCTGCCCTGGTCCTTGGGTTCCTCATGCCAGGAGTCTCCAGCCTGGTGCTGAGCTCCCCAAAGGGATGGAGGGCAGAAGCCACATGCCTTGGTGAGGCCTCTCACACCCACAGCTGCCTGGGGGTGCCGGGTGACTGGTCTGCCTGGCTAAGAGCTGGGTCCAGGTGCCACGAGCGGTTTGGGTGGACGCTGTGGGGTGCAGGGTGGGCATGCTGCGGCTGCAGCTTGGCTGGGCTCTGCTGGGAGGTCTTCAGAGCCTCCTTCTGGCCCCAGTGCTGCCCTGGTCTTTTCCTTCTTAGCACCTGTCTGCAGCCCTGCCTCCATGCCCCAGGCTGGGCCCCAGCATGCTCATGGGGGGCTCACGGTGTGTGCAGGGGGAGGGCAGGTACTGGGCAGAGTCACCGCGATGGGGGGCAGGAGCTAGGTCAGCACGGCCCCTGAGCCCTAGGGCACCGGCTCACACGTGGCGGGGGCGTCGGGGTGTCTGTGCTGTGAGCAAGCAGGAAGGGGTCTGGGCTCACGTTACAGTTTCCACTGGAAAAACAGCCCCATTTAGAACCTTGGCTCCAAGCTTTTAAAAAATTGCAAATATATCCAGTTTCCTGAGTGCTGAGTGAAATTGGTCGTTTCTGCTGGCCCTGCTGAGGGTGGGAGCCCGCCCAGCTGGAGCCACAGGCAGGCGCCACAGGAGGCAGCAGAGGGCCCGTGGGCAGGGCTGACCCGCAGCTCTGGGGGCCCTCTGCAGTCGGGCCAAGGGCATTGGGCCTCCAGCACCCAGGCAGGTACTCAGGGTGCAGGCCTTGTCCAGAAAGGTGGGGAAACGGGCTGGGGCGGAAAGCCCTTCTGTCCCAAGCGGTCAGCCCCATCTGGTGGAGGCAGCTCTCCCAGCCCCCCGCATCCCACAGGGCTGTGGCGGCTTTGCCTCCTCCCACGGTTGGGGAGCTGGGCCCACTGGGGACGCTGTCCTGGGCGCTGCTGCGGGTCCCACGTGCTCGGATGAGGCCCCGGCAGCAGGAGGGGCCCCGGTGCAGACCTGGGCTTCAGGGTAGCGGGTGGCAGAGCTGCTCTGCGGTTTTGCCAGGGGGTCACCACATGCAGTTGTGGGGCGAGGGCAGGGTGTGTGCACTGAGTGTGCGTGTGTACCCAAGCACACGAGTGTCTGTGCTCACGTGAGACTATGTGCACATGTGAGCACACACAGTGTGGGTCTGAGCACGTCCCCTGCCTCCTCCACACTCTGGCTTGGCCCCCAGCACCCCTCCCACAGCAGGAGGACCAGGTCTCCCTCTGCCTGCTGCCAACAGCAGGTGGGCCTTGCGGGGGCCTGGTGGCTCTGCGGTGGGAGGGGCAGGGGCAGAAGCCCACCACCCGTGGGTGCAGGGTCTTCCCTGAGCTGGCCTGTTTTCTTTGGAAGGCAGCAAATGCTACTTGTATGGTGTGACTGACACACCGGATGACAAGCACCCTCTGGGTAAGCCAGGACCCCTGCCCGCCACATTCCCAGCTTCACTGAAGGCTCTGGTGTCAAGATGTCTGGAAATGCTTCCAAGGATTGGAGCTGCACTTGGAAGTCGGCCCGCCCCACATAGGATGGGGGCTGAACGGCATCAAGACAGTGCCCCTCAGCTTGGCTGCGGGCAGACAGGGAGCCAGAGGCTTGGGCAGAAGACCTCAGTCCCCCCAGGCAGGAGCTCGGGTGGTCCCAGAGGCCCAGACCCTGGGGCTTTGCAATGCCGTCCAGCCTGCCTGCAGCCAGTTCGGGAGCTGAAGTTCCTTATGACCTTGTTCTGTAGAGCGTCCCCGCTGAGGTGGGCCCAGCCTGGGGGTAATCCTGCAGAGGGTTCTGGAAGTCTCAGTAACCCCAGCTCTGCCCAGAGGGTGGGGGACCACCGTGGGACCTCACGGTGACCCCAGCCCAGGATGTTGAGCGCCAGGAAACCATTTCTGTGCTTCCTCACAAGGGGGAGAATGGCCTGCACTCGGTTTACACCCAGCGAGCACCCACACACGCATGGCGACGCCTCTCCCTGACACCAGTTCAGGCTCCATTGCAAAGAAAACAAACCTCAGCACAGGGGCTGATGTGCCAGCCACACTCCTGAATGATCTGCCCAAGGTCTCGGCGCAGAAAAGTACGAGGCAAATTGTTTTTCTGCCAAAGATGTAAAAACGCAGAAGCCAGGAGTGGGGACGCTGGAATGAGGTGAGGAGGCAGTGGGCAGAAGGCACGACAGCTCCTTACTGGCTGGGCAGCCGGCCACCTGCCCAGGAGACAAGCAAGGCCAGCGTCCCCTGCAGGTTTCTGGATGTGGGAGGGTCTGCGCCCACCAGGCCTGAGACCCTGGGTCAGACCCACTTGCCAGGGCCCGAAATAGGCAGATGCCAAGGAACACCACAGCTCCAGGTCCTGGCTAGTGCCGAGTGCACACAGCCCCCGAGGGCCCCGCAGAGGTTTCTCTCCGTCCCTCCCTCCCCACACATTCACATGTGGAGACATGTGCTCACACATGTGCATGCCTCGGTGCATCCGCCCCTCCGTCCATGCAGGCCTGGCGCTGCCCCACTCTCGGGGTTCACGCCGCCTTGTGGAGTCAGGGACGGTTGGCCTGAAAGGGTCCTGAGGGGCTAGAAGGGGGTCCTGTCCCACAGCAAGGGCCTGGACAGAGGGCAGCGGGAGCTTCTGGGAGGGGCTCTGCCCTCACTTGCTCAGCAGGGCTGGGCGGGGCTTGCACGGCTTGGAGCCGCAGTTTCCCGGGTCTGCAGCCACACAACTCCCTGGGCATCCTGTTCCCGGCCTCTCCAGCACCCCCGGCCCGTGGAGGGGCCCCTTCAAGGGCGCTGGCGCTACTGATGACTCAGGTCGCCCTCACCCGACTGAGTCAGCCCCAGCTCTCTGTGGGGCTCGAGTCACCCAGTGAGGTAACCCCGGGTTGGGCAACACGCTGAGTCACGTGCACCCCGTCCCAACCCGGCTGTCCGCCCAGGCAGGGGGGCACAGCAGGGGTGGGAGGTGGGGTGGAGGCTGGGGTCAGCTTCTGCCTGGACCTGGTCGGCTCCGTGGCATCTCCTTGTCCTCTGCCTGGTTTGAGGCCATGTTGGACCAAGCCTGGCCCCCCTACCCTGTGCTCTGTGCCCCATCATGTGGCCCCAGCGTGCCCAGGCTGAACCACAGGCGGCCCTGGGCTCTGTGGAGCAAGGGCCGTGTTGCGGTGTTTCTCTGATGGGAGAGAAACGTTTCCTAAAATGGATTTGTTGGGGTGCTGAGGGTCTCTGACCATGGGACAGAGCACCTTCCGACGGCATCTGCAGCACTGCGTCCTGTCCTCAGGGAAGCCCTCCTCCAAAGGCCCCAGGGATCTGCGTGCCCACTCCCACCTTCCTGGCTGTCCTTTGAGGACACAGCCGGGCCCTGCAGCTGGGGTGACAGGGATGGGACCTGAGGCTGGGTGCAGAGGCCTCCCCACCTCGGTGTGTGAGCAGTGGGTGCAGCCCAGACGGCCCTGGAGGTGGGGCTGGGGCCAGTGGTGCCCATTCCCACAGGCCTGTGCCTGGAGCTCCTGGGGGCATGGTGCCGTCTGCAGATCTTTAGGGAGAGACTCTGGCTGGGGAGCTTGGGCCTCTCCTGGCACCATGGGGTCATTCTCTTTGGCTTTTACCCCACCAGGGCAGGTGGCACAGGGAACGGGGTCCCGTTCTGTGCCTGGCTGAATGGGCTCTGTCAGCAGCCTGCTGGCCCTCCACAGAGCTGAGGCCAGCCACCGGCCCCATGCCTTCTAACAGCTCCGGACCTGCGCCACGGGCCCCGCTAAGCAAATGCACGGCACCAGGCGTGTTCTGTGTTCCTAAGGTGAGATACACTTTCTGGAGGCAACTTTCCAAGTAGCAGTGGTTGAAACACACCGTTCTGGGTGAGCCTGTGCCCTCCACTGCAGCTCCAGGGCACTGCCTCTGTCTCTGGGACCTGCCGGCCCGTCCAACAGCTTCCACCTGCCCGGAGCCCACTGAGAGCACAAGGGCAGGTAAACCCGCCGGCCACGGGCTGGCTGTTCGGCCGTCCTGAGCTTCCCAGTGCCTGTCTCCTGGCCTATGCCATCGGGACTCATGGGACCTGAGGCCCACCAACCACAAGGCCCCACCCTTGGTATTTCTGCAGGGGGCAGTTAGTGTCCCCCCAATTTCTGATTGCTCACACTCACTGGGCAGCTCCTGGAGGTCCCTGGTGCTGTGGGAAAACATCCCCCAGCCACATGTGGGCTAACTGGGGCAGAAGGCTGGTGTGCAGGGGGACGCCACAGAGCGGGGCCCAGTGACCTAGGCAGGGACGGGACGAAGCTGCTGGGATCGGGAACATGTCTCACTGAGGCAGGGCATCCCGTCTGTGAAACTTAATTCTTGTCATATTCACAGCCCCACACAGTAGGGCAGGAGCAGAGAGGGTGTTAGACGTGACAACAGTCCTGTGGGCGCTGTGCTCAGCTGCTCATCGCTGCTACAAGAGAGACAGACGACAGAAACCCTGGGTTTTTTAAAGAAACTTCTGACAAGTAAAGAAGGTTCAAGGGCAAGTGTGCTGTGCGCACACATCCAGCCACCACCTTTGTTTCTCAGTGAGGCCACCAGCGTGGTCGTCTGCCTGTGGAAGCCCGAGGGTGGGTGTGCGTGGCCCCAACCCACAGCAGCTGGCCCTTGACCCCAACATGGGCCTGCCTCCTGGATGAAGCCGGCGGTGGGCAGCCAGCGAGTGAGGCTGCTCTGGGGATTGGGGCCACACCTCGCTTGCTCCCATACAGCCTCTCCCCAGGTGATGCTCCCACGCCGCCCGGAGCCAGCGTCCACTGTAGGGTGACTGGAGCGTTTTAAAAGGAGAGAGCGGCATTTCTGCAGGCGTGCTTCCTCAGGCTGGATTCCAGAGTGCCTCGCAAGTTTTTTATTGTGGTAAAACATACATATTGCCACATGGGCCATTTAAACCCTTTTTGAGCGTAAGGTCTGTGGCATGAGGTCCGTTCACTGTTGAGCGGCACAGCCACCTGCTAGTTCTGGGACGCCCCCAGACACACCACCCAGTCAGCAGGGTCCCCTGGCTTAGCTGCCTGAACTCTTTCTTGGAGCATCCTCACAGCACAGTGGACAGAGCTGGGCACGATGCCAAGGTCTCCACAGATGCAAACGGGTGCTAAACACTTCACTTAGCGTCCTTTGATTTTACTGTGAAACACCAGTGCCTGCGCCTCCTGTGTCTCCTGTGTGGGATCAGCCGGCCGACAGTCTGGGCTTGTGTTTTGCTCCTGGAGACGTAACCCGCCCCAACCCACCCGCTCACGCACGGAGATTCACCTGCTATCAGCCTTGCTTCAGAATTTGGTCCTGTGCATACATTTGGACCTAATTCAAGGGTTTTGCCAGCTTCACGGTTCCTGTAGGTGTTTCCTGCAGCAACGTCCCAGCTGCTGGCTACAGGCCCTGCTGGGCTGCCTTCCTGAAGCCCCAGAACTGCCTGAGTTCCCGGACTCCACCACCAGCACCACGGGCTGCCAGCGCACCCAGTCCTGGAGCGCTCAGACGTCCCACTTCCTACCATCAGCTGGGGGACGGAGCCTCCTCGCCGCCCTCTGGCTTCCACAAGCTGCAGCCCGAGGTCGGAAGGAACTCTCTGACCATCCAGCGGGTAACTGCACCCCTGCGGACCTGGTAAGAAAGACATGGGCTGTGTGCTGTGCTTACCTAAAACCTAATTTTCAAGGAATGCCTTTTTGTGCTGTTTACAAAGTCTGGCTCTGTGGCAGGCTGGGGTTCCAGCAACAGCCCTTTCCCCGGGGAGCTGGGGTGCCCCGGCCAGGCTCAGGGAGGCCCAGCACCTTCGGAGCCAGCCAGCCAACAGGATAGGTGCCTCAGCTGGGTGGCCGCCTGCCCTCCCGGCCAGGACTTCAGCAGGGCCACAAGGTGCTGACTCCCTTTCCTAAAGCAAGTGGGCGTCCACACTGGCAGCATCAGGACACACAGAGAGTTACCAGATCTCAGTTACATCCCAGGAAAATGAGACACGAGTGTTCACCTGCGCAGCATGCCCTCCTATACCTGGAGACACGTGGTAACACATGTGGTTTCCTCACACACCTGTCCACATACTTGCCAGAGTGTATCTAAATACATCAGTGAGGTGCACAGCCCAGGCCGGAGTGGGCACTGGGGGAGGGCCATGGGGACGCTCATCCTGTGTCCCACCAGTAGCCCTCCCTTGAAGGGAGGCGACAAGGTGCGTGAGACACTGCGCATGGGGCACAGGCCACCGTCAGGGACTCTATGACGCCTGAGATTTTCAGGAGTGAGCCAGCCTGGAGCAGACACACGTGCTGCGAGGTCTGGACCGTCAGCCTCTGGGCTGCACCTGGCTGTTGGGTGGCTGTGCGTCCTTCCCTCAGGACTCTGTGTCTCCCCCTGTGCAGCCCCTGGTGCTGTGCACGATGGCTCCTGGCCATGTCACCTTGAGTAAAGTGCAACCCGCAGCCGCAGGCTTTCCAGGAGGAGGGTGGGTCTCCCCTGCTGGCACCCACCCTTGGGGGAGCCCGACCCGTAAGGTGGCCAGACCCAGGGCTCTCTGAGTGTCAGGCGACAACAACGCGAGGATCACGGTGGACCCCGTAGGCCTCCTTTCAAGCCCTGGTGGTCCCCACTGCTGGGGTCCGGAGGGAGCCCCAGCCTCAGCCCTGCCGGCCAGGAGCAGCCGGCACAGTGTTCGTGTCTGGGCACAGAGCATCCCTGAGCACGCAGCATGTGTGTGAGTGTGCGTCCCGCGGCAGGACGGCTGCGGTGGAGGCAGCAGGGCTGGGCTGGGCAGCCGTGTGGGCCCCAATCTGCCACCTACTCATCTCGCCAGAGCCAGCAGGAGGGTGTCCTGTTGCTCGCAGCAGCATTTTAAGGGCAGTCTAAGGTATTAGGGGCAGAGATTTCAACTGCACACATATGTTCCCCAGGCAGAAAGCTTTATTCAACTGCATTACTTAATTATTCCATCAAGAAAGAAGAGGACACACTGCCTGCTAATGTCTGCTCACGGGCTGGCCTTGGACCCAGGTGTCAACAGAGTCGAGGGGCAGGACCACGTTCGCCTGGCGTGTGTGACTCCCAAGGCCGGCGGACCCTGCGGGAAGCCAGGAGAGCCAGGCTGAGGACGTAGCTCAGCTTCCCGCCCCCGTGCTGAACCACTGGCCGAAGGCTCAGGGCCACAACGGCAAGAGCGAGGCTTGGTGTCACGGGTTTGGAACCTCCGATGGCTCCTCCTCGACCAGCTCTGCTCTGCACCGCCTGTACTTGCCTAAGTGCTGCTTCTGCAGCAGCCGGAAGATGCTGGCCAGCGGCCTGGGCGCCTCCGAGGCTGGGTGTGCCCCCTCTCCCCCCGCCGCCGGGGACCAGGGGGGCTGGCGCTGGGGACAGCCCCTTGCCCGGGATCTGCAGCGGTGGGACTCTGCTGAATCAACAGACACACTGTCAATGTCTTCGCAACGTAAACACTCAAACTTCAGCTGTTTTTTAGTTTTAAAGGCCATGTGTGGACAAAAAAACCACATTCAAGTGCTCAGGAAGAGCAAAGTCGCCCACTCAGCGCCCCCTCGGGAGGCTTCTCTGGGCTATGTTGACATGGGTGAGCCCCTCCCACCAGGCTCTCCTCTGCACTGATGCCAAACAAAGTCAGGGGTTACCCTCAGAGGCACGAGGATGGAGTGAACGGAGGGGCACATGGTGGCACACAGAGGAGGCCCTGGGTCAGTGGGGAAGGCATTGGTGCGGGAAGCCAGGAAGGAGCTTTCACTGGGTGGTGGGGAGGGTCCCTTTTCAGGGAGCCCAGCTGACTTAGAGCTGCAGACAGGGCCCTGTGGAGGAGGCAGGGAGGGGGCCTGGCAAGCAGCAGCCCAGAGCTGACCCAGCCCTGCCTGCTTCTGGGATGAATTTTGGTGGGATGCAGCATGCCCACTCACGCACTCTAGGACTTCTCTGCGTGATGGGTGCAGATCTGAGGACATTTGGTGCCTGCCCTTCACAGAAGCACCAGCTCTCCTGGGCTGTGTCTGTGACTATATACCATGCGAATGCTTAGGGGCTCTTGTGCATTTTTTGTAATAGGACAACTGTGTAATTATGTTTTAGCTTCAAAAAGCAAAATGCAGAGCATCTACTGTATAATCTCACTCAACACATAAAAATGGGTTTAAACAGCAAGACAGCAGAATGTGAAGAGCATTGCTACTAGTGAGTCAGGTCACGGGAACCCGCCTCCCCCGCCTCCCAGTGGTTAGGCGGCTGCGTGGGGCACTACCTGGGTGCTGGCGGCACGCTGGCGAGACGAGGCGTCAGACTGGGGCGCTGAGGGCCATGGTGGGAGATGCCGCCTGCAGGGGACAGGTGAGCATGAGCCAGGGAGGGGGGCCAACCCGGGCTCCACACCCCACCTGTGGGGGGCGCCCGCACCCCCTGCTCTCCTGGCAGGCAGGGGGCCATCCACTCGATCTTCTCAGCCGCAAGCACCTTGCAGCTGGGACGACACGCAGAGCATCCCAACTGGCCCTGTGTGCGCAAGGCACTCCCTGCCCCCCAGCCTTGGCTCTCGCCCATCGGGGCGCCTGGAAGAGAAGAGGACCCCAAGAGGCTCTCTGCTGGGGCCAGGGGCAGGAGCGGTGGGTGACACAGGGGCATCGGTGCCCGCCACTGCCTGGTTTGTCTGTTGAGATCTTCCGGGTTGGTGAGAGACTTCTCGTGAAGATGTAAATGGGCCCCGGTATGTTCTAGTCACCCGAGGGCAGATGTGGCAAGACTGCTATGGTTGATGCCTGAATTCCTTTGCATCTGAGTTTTGGAGAATTTTAACAGAAGAAAGGCAGGGAAAGAAGGGAGACAGACTTCAGGTTAGGCTCCCTGTGTTCCTTTCACTGCTAAGAACCTGGATCAGAGAGGATAGGGGCCTTTCCCAAGGCAGCACAGCGCCAGGTGGCCGAGGGGGTCTCATCTCTCTACCCTGGGCTGCGTGGGCACCAGAGCACTCCTGAGTCTACAGCAGCACCAGGAGGCCCTGTGCAGCAGCTAAGAACAGGGAGGCAAATGGTGCCAGCAGGCTGGTTATTGTGCCTTCAATGTTTGGACATCTGGGGTCTTGCTGACCCGGGAGGCAGAGCTCTCCCTGGGGCTGGCCAGCTCCCGGAGCCAGTACGTGGTTTGCGGGTGAGCGGGTTGGGTATAAAAACCAACGCACCCAGGGCCTACGCTCTGGACACCCCCCGGCCTTACATCGCCCTGCCTACCTGAGACCAGGCACCAGGGACTGGGCTGACTCAGAGTGGCCAACCCCAGAACCAGTGGGTGGGCTCTTCCCACTGCCTCCTCACTCCTCTCTGTGAGGGTCCCCCAACCCCTGCTCCCTCTGTCTCCGGACTGAGCCAGTCTCCTTTGTGGCCTCCCTGTTCTGATTAACCAAATCCCGGGTATGTTTCAAACACAACTGTAATGGCAGAGACCTTCTGCTCAGCAGTTATGTGCTTGGCACCACAGCAGTCCCCTGAAATACTTGCTTATTTGCTCCTCAATTTGTGGAGACAGCTGTAACCAACAGAGATTAGGAGAGTGAGGCCCCAGGAGGCCAACGCCTCAGGGGGTCATGTGGGCAGCGCTGGGGCCCGGGGGGCGCTGTGGCCCTCTGACCCTGAGAACACGGGTGGCCTGCGTACCCGCAGATGTCCATTCCTAAGGACCGCATGGCACTGCGGGTCTGCTCTCATGAAAGAGGTGCACAGTGCTGCCGGAGGGAGGCCCCACAGGTGCCAGGAGGGTGCTGTGCTGCCAACAGGGCCCCTGCAAGTCAAGGCAGTGACTTCTGTCCAGGAGAACCATGTTATCCAGGGCACTTCAGAAAGGTTTCCATTAGAAAAATTCAAATTTAAAACACTTTGACATTTAAAGGTGATAAGTTTCTTTACCCTCTTGGTAAACATGAAAAAACGAATCTTCTGTGGTGCCAGGTAAACAAGGATGTTTTCTGGGTGGGGCAATGTGCTCTGTGTGGCCTCTGAGGGGAAAGAGGCCAGAAATGCTGAGCGGCCAGGCGCGAGGCCCGCGTCCCAGGCTGCTGCTCCGGTGGACTGACGCATCTGGTGAGCGTTTGCAGAGCAGGGGCTTCTGGCTACCACGGCATCGAGACCCAGGACCCTGTGTGAGGCTGGACGGACTGTGCAGACGATGATGCTGGGGAGTCAGCAGGGCAGACGGCGCATGTCACCAGGCCACCGCATGGCCTGTGTGGGGCTGGGCAGGTGCTGTGCCAGGTGGGGTGGCCATGCTTGCAGGGGACGGATTCTGTGGGAGGGACAGGTGCCCATATCACCCGCAGCCCAGCTGCACCGAGCAGAAGCCAGGAGAGGCTGGGAGACTCGGGGCCAGAGTGCCTGAGAGGCTGTGCAGCGCCAGCCAGGCTGCAGAAAGCATGCGTGCGTATGCAGGGGGACCCCGAGAGCCTGGGGGGAGAGGGCAGCAGCTTGGGAGCTGGCTGGAGGCTGGGTGGTGCCAGCCCAGGTTATCAGAGGTGGAGTCTGGGCCCTTCAAGGAGGACAGAGGACCCGCACGTTGCCACTCCAAGTCACTCCAAAGCCCCTGAGCACACGCCACAGAGCCTTCAGGGCAATGAGGGAAAAGCAGCTCACCACACAGAGACGCAGTGGGACTCAGGCCGACTTGCCAGAACACAGGGAGCCGGAGGGCAGGGGAGGGGGCCGTGTGGGGCCACGGTCAGCAAGAGCTCCTCCTCCAACAGGAAGACAAAGGCGTCACGGCCCAGAGAATTCACTGACCACTGACCTCCCTACAACGAAAGGTACTTGGGGCTCAAAGGAAGCAGCAGCTGACGGTGGCCAGGCCCTGGGAAGGGACAAGCAGTTCAGGGATGGTGCCAACGTGAATGGAAGGACAAGCGTGCCGTGTGTGTGTGTGTGTGTGTGTGTGTGTGCGCACGTGTGCAGGGACTGGTTCCTCATATGATCTTCAAGAAATAAGAGTTTGCTTGACAGAAATAACAGTATGTAATCCTGGGTTTTTAGCACCTATGGATGTCATACACACCACACGTGACACGTACAGTTATATATAAACGGCGCATACCATGTGCAGGGATGTGGTGCTGCTGTTTCATCAGAATAAGCCAATATTCACCTCAAGATGCAAGCTGGAGGCCCCAGGGCAGACACTAAGGAAAGAGAAAGCTCGCTGCTGAAACACCAACAGAGGGATCGAATGTGTCCTCATCGGCTTGGTGGCCACAGCAAAGTACCACAGACAGGGTGGCTTCAGCAGCAGCAGTTTATTTCTTACAGGCCAGAGGCTGGGGGTCCGAGGTCAGGCTGACTTCCCCCTTTCTGGGTTGCAGAAGGCTGTCTTCCAGCCGTGTCCTCCAACAGCCTCTGAGCAGGCGATGTGGTGCGTCTCTTCCTACAAGGGCACTGATCCTATCAGGTTAGGGCCCCACCTCTGTGACCCACCAGAGGTCCTGTCTCCAAATACAGTCACACTGGGGGTCAGGACTTCAATATAGAAATTCTGAGGGGACACAATTCAGTCCATAGCAAACTGACACACTAAAAATTTTAATACAAAAGAAGGCATTTAAGGAGATACAGATAAACAAAAGACCCCAAGTCACATATAAAACAAATAGTAACATGGCAGACATGAACCCAGACGTGTTAAGAACTATATTAACTATCAACAGATGAACACTCCAATCAACTGGCAGAGAGTGTAAGAGTGGGCCAAGCAAGAAGAAAGACATGATCACCTTACACTGTGCACAGAGGGCACGCTTTAGACTTAAGGACACAAAGAGGTTGAACATAGAAGCTGGGAAAAGATACATCAAGTAAATTATAATCAGCCTGAAAATTAAATGAAGGAAATTCTGTATAAAAAATAATTAAATATTTGGGTATAAGTTTATCAATAATGAATAAGACCTGCACCCTAAGAACTACAAAAGCTTCCTTAGACAAATTAAAGACCCGACAGATGGAGAGAGGGGAAGGTCCATGGGTTGGAAGACTTAACACTCACATAGCAGTCTACCCCAAACTCACTCAGAGAGTCAATAAAACACCTACCAAAATTCTAGCAGCCTTTTCTGATAGAACCTGACAAACGGATCTTACAGTCCAAAGGACCTGGAATATCCAAAATTATTTTGGTAAATTAAGAACAAAGTTACAGGGCTTACACTGCTTTCAAAGTCTAACTGCAAAGTGACAGTAGTCAAGCCAGTGTGGTGTCTGTGGAAGGACAGCATGCTCACCAGTGGGCATGATGGACAGGCCAGAGGAAAGCCTGACTATACAGCTGACGGGCAACTTTGATTCTGGGCTGTCTGCTGTCTGCAGAATGACAACTGCTGTGTGCACATGGGTCTGGCAACCTGTAACCTTACCAAGCTTGTTTACAGTTCTAGTGTGATTCTTAAAGTTTCTACATACAAGAGCACGCTGTCTACAAAGACAGACAGTTACACGTCTTCCTTCCATGTACGTGCCTCCGGCTCCTTGTTCTCACTGACCTGACAGCATCAGATGGCGGTGGTGCTTGTGGGCACCTCATCTCCCTCCCCACAAGGGAAACAGTCTTTCAGCACTGCGATGTTGGCGGGGGTTTTCTGTAGATGCCCTCTTTCTGGTTGAGTTCCCTTCTATGACACATTTCCTGAGAATTTTTTTTATCAGGAGTGATTGTAGAACTTTTTACATCCTTAATTCTGCCAATAGTTTATGGATCTTCAGATGTCAAAATAATTTTGAATTCCTGGGATAAACCCCGTTTGGTGATGGCATATAATCCTTTTTGTGTTGCTAGATGTTATAGACTCACATATTCTAGAAGAATTCTGCACTCATATTCACGAAGAATCTTGCTGTTTTCTGCCCTGTCTTTGGCTTTATCATCAATGAACTGCCAAGTGCCTGACCCTCTCCTGTTTTCTGAAAGAGCCCACGTACAACTGGCATTAGTGCTTCCTTAAACGTCCCATACATTCACCCATGAGGCTGTGTGTGTGTGTGTGTGTGTGTGAAAGATTTAAAAACTACCAATTCAACATCTTGATAGCAGTCTCTCCATATCTGCCATTTCTTTTTGATAATTTCTGTCTTTCTAGGAATTTGACCATTTCACATTAAGTCATCTATTTTGTTGGCATAGAATTGTGTATAATATTCACTTTTAGTCCCTTTAACATCTGTGGGGTGTGTAGTGATGTCGCCTCTTTCATTCCTGAAACAGGTGATTTGCTTTAAAAATTTTTTAACAAGTATAGTTCACATACAATATTTCATTAGCTTCAGGTGTATAAGACAGTGATTTGATATTTTTA